TTCATTTCATTTGAAATTGAAATTTTAAAGAACAAAATAAGTTTTAAATCCTTGGCGCTGCGATAAAACTATACACTTATCTTTCGCTAAGCTGGTCCATTTTAACTGGACTGAAGCGAGGATGGCCAGGTGCTTGAAGTGGAGGTCCCAGTTATGAGGGGTGACCTCACATTTAGTGGCTTCAAAAGTAGATGTAGGCGAAGTTGAACTTAAAGGTGATGCATGGGTGAAGTGATAGGCCAAGCAATGCAAAGTCAAAGACAAAGGCAAAAGCAAAGTCAAAGACAAAGGCAAAAGTCAAAGACAAAGGCAAAGGGAAAGGGAAAGGGGCTGGCCCCAATCATTTTGTCCTATTCGGACACACATTCTACAAACCGCTAGCACATGGCGCTATATGACCTCATGCTACAGAGAACAAAATTCTTAGCTCTTGTTAGATCGGCGGCTCAAGTGAAAAGGAAGCGCGAGGAAGATCACAGATCAGGAACTCCGCATCAAGCGCGCTCCAAGCGGAAATGTTTCCAAGTAAAAAAGCTAGAGATGGGATAAGCTATACATGGGATTAATGAGTTGCGATTCTCAAATGAAAATCGAGAAGTGATTTAATAAATACAATCGGACGGTGAAACCGTTACAACATGCAGATACAGAAGATCCAGACTATTTTAAGAAAATTCTGTGGGCCGATGAATCGAAGTTTGATAAGGACGGGATCACTATCTACCATAATGCTAATTACTGGGCTGATAAAGAAGCTTCAAACCCCCGAAAAATAAGACGGGGTCACAGAGCCGGTTTTCAGTCAATGTGTGGATGGGCATCATTGATGGATATTTAATTGGACCTCATTTTCTGTCCGCCAAGTTAAATGGAGAAGTGATTGAAGAGTGCTTGAAAAATCACTTGTTTCCATTAATGGAAGACGTCCCATTGGCGGCGAGACAAAATATGCGGTTCCAGCACGACGGCTGTCCCGCACACTACAGTAGATTAGTGAGGGCGTACTTAGACTCTAAATTTCATCAAATCAATGGATTGTTAGAGGCGGCCCCATTGCCTGGCCAGCAAGAAGCCCAGATCTCACACCAATGGATTACTATGTGTAGGGACATATGAAAAGCCTGGTGTACGATGTTTCGCCCGTACCAACGCGCGATGAATTGATTACAAAGATAATCAGTGCAGCTGACCAAATAAAAAGCCGCTTGCCAACTAGAGTTACCAAAAGTGAATTACGTAAGAGAATGCGGGCGTTTATTCATAACAGGGGATTACAATTTGAGCAGAATCTTTAAAATACTAAACGAAATGTAATTAAATAAAACTGTAATTAAAATAAAAGCCTTTTGTTTATCCTACGTACTTATCGTTCGTACAACTTTACTTATCCTTTTTTTAATTTTATGTCTTTGTACTTGAGTTAGCTGTAACTTTTATACCTCAAATGAAAGCTTGTTAGATAGAGATATTATTTACATAATTTGAACATTTCATTACTAGGAGATTTTTTACAGAAAACTGCATTTTTTATCGAAAAAGTTAGTAAAAAAATAAGAAAATCATACATTTCAAAAGCGTAGTTTTAAAACTGTAAGTTTTCAACATTTTATTACTTATTATGAACTTTTGGAGCGACGATAACAAAAAACTCAAAATCAAACATGTAGTTCTTTGTATTTCAAATTTAATCGTCTGACATCGGAATGAAAAATAAAAAAAAACGAAATTCAAATAATTCAAAAACGGTTAACTTCTGGATAGGACATTATAGGACAAAATCTGTTGCTTTTGATCTAATCTATTACCTCTTAACAGGAATACGTGACATTACAAGTCACCCTGTATATTAGTATGGACTATTCTATTTCGTATTCTGAATAATAAGGGTTGAAGTGGCGCGGAGTGTAAACGTGACAACACCGCCCCGTGAGCTTATCCGCCGAGCTTTTGGCGTGTGATGGCTTTGGCGATGGCGCGTGTATCGGCGTGTTTTAAGAGCCCCGGTTGGGCTGAAGCCGACCGGTTTTCCCGTTTCCATAACTTAGAGGGCCAATTACCCGAAAAATATCCGAATGGACGGCAAATTGGCATCGCAAAAGCGACTGACGTGCCCCACGGCGCAGTCACTGTGTTTTTACCGATAGCAGCCGCACTGTTATGTTCGGTAACAAATTGGATGATTCGATTCGCTGTTCAGAGGATGGCAGTCCGGCTAATCGATGACTCTTCCCTAACGAACATTCCTGAGATCCTGATAGCTCTTCTTCATGGTGCCACTCCGCGAAGAGTCTGCCAGATCTACCCGCCTGACTTCCTATGTCCCTAAGCTCTTTATAGCAGCCAATGTGCCCCGGTATTGAGGCTTTTTCTGCTCAGGTGCTTTGGTATATAAAGAAAAGCCCTTAATTATGTGTAAAGCATTACAGTTTCCACAATAGGCTATCTAGCGTTTAATATTTAAACTAATAGTTATATTTCCATCGAATGCCAATGTGTTACTTTGGCTTGTCAAAAACTTGTTATACTAAATATTTGGCATTTTCGAAATAGGGGCTTGATTAATTCGAAACTTCGCACACGTATCAAGGGCTGATGACAACGGTATAATTTGATGACAGTTTTCTATTATCCTTATTCGTAAGTAAGATTCTGTAAAAAGCAGATATGTTAATAAAAGGCCACGGAAGAAATGAAAAGTAAAAATAGTTTAAAAAACACGCTTTTATAGCAAACCGAACTGAAAAGTGGAAAATAATGTTTAATTACAAAGAGTTTATATTACAGTAGTAGATGGTCGAACAATCATCTGAAAATAAAATTATAAAGCGGTGCTTTTAAGCTATTATTTATTTTCAGATGGAGCTTTTTTTCACCTCAGAAACTATATTGAATTGCTGCATTTAGAGCCCAGAAAATGCATTTATTGCTAATATTTTCTCATCGGACACTGCAGAGCATCGACTGATCTTCGTTTGCTTTGTTCGCATGGCATAATAAAGTGGATTTTTTCGTGGTGGCATAGAGTAATTCCGGTGACTGTTTCGGGTCGTAAACACAAAGCACACACATACAGATTTTCCGGTCCGGCAATGGCGTAAATCATGTAAATCCGCGGATGTAATTACCCGGAAATATTGCTCTCATTGGCGTAGACAACGCAAACAGAAAAAGTTGTATTCGATACGTTAATCAGACACTAGTGCACGGTGAACTGAAATTTTGATGTACAAAGTATTTGTTGATTTAATATGAGACACAAATCGTATATATTACCAACACACTGCTACTCCACGAGCCATCTACGGGTAACTGATATTATAAATCAGCTCCAGCGATGAGATATAGCTGTAAGTATTGCACCACGAGCGTGATATAGTAGGCAACACAACATCCATCGCAAGGAACTGCCTTTCGAGGCGTACGCGCTGACCACTGAGCTACTGAGGCTGCCGTAGGTCTAGTTAATAAAAACGTAATATCGTAGCGACATGGGAGCTCTCCCGAGGAGCAAGGTCGCCAACCGATCGTCATTGGAAGAAAGACATTTTGTTAGGGGAATGTCGGAAGGGTACTATCCAAAACCATTTATTCAATCATATGAAAAGCTGTGTTTCTGGTGATACGTTTCTAACTACATATTATGGCTACCTCCATTCAATAATGTCATACGAACTCTTGAACTGGGGTCACTCTGTGCATATGCCTAAAGTATTTGCATAACAAAGATCCTGCATCGGAGACACCGCAGGTCTGAGTTACATGCAGCCATGTAGAGAGGCCCTCATCATCCTAAAGAAACTTACTCTTCCATCTCTATATGTATTTGTCTGCCTATGTTATGTACACAACAATTTGGATCTATACGAAACGCAAAGTGATATACCTACATAGTTTCAATACACGTAACATGTACACCTATAATTTAGATATCCCTAAACAAAGAACTAGAAGCGGTTCTAACTACCATGGAATCCACTTTTATAATGTTCTTCCTGAGGTACTCAAAATGTCTAGCACAGGCTCATTTGAGTATAGAATTAAAGCGTACCTTACCAAGAAAGTTTTTTTAAGCAATAACTTTTCGGATCTCTTATAATGATGTTGTGGTGTGCTTCTTTACTTTTACTGTTTGTTAATTTGTTGGGATGTGCTTGTTCTATGGGATTGTATTTATTTTAATTTCATCATATCATTTTACAGTTTTTTTGTTAATTTTGTTTTTTAAGGTTTTCTGGTAACATTGTTTTTTCCAACACATTTTATTGTTTTGTGAATTTACACCTTGGTATTTTAACTTCTACTTTGACCTTTGTAAGCAACAATTAAGAAATTAAATGCAAGGACCAGCTTTATTCCCAGTAGACGCGGCAATTAACCAGACTTGTTTATGCCAAACAATGTTCCTCAAGATATGAACTCCGGCAACACCAAATGAGTGGCCTTCAGACAAATCTGGAATTTATACAATCACAATCGGTTTGATTGTATTTTTTTCTAAAAGCCGTAATTACTTTGGTTTGAACGCTGAAAGTTAATGCTGATAATGAAACCCCCCGAATGATGTGACGATTCCCTTATGTCGAGTACTGCTTTCATAAGTCCTATTTTAAAACAATTGATAAGCAAAAGATATATCTTCAACAATTTCTCCAAAAAAACTGCATTTATATGTTGAACTTCATCCCCTTGCAAACATTCGGCCTCCACGACATTGTGCTAGCTGATTCAGCAAACTGACGTCGGACGTTGCGCTGGTAAAAAACAAATGAAAACCTCTCTAGTAAAAATGGCGACCGGAAACGGTAGCGGCGGATACCGGAAACGTCCGCTGAAAGCGGAAGACCGCCGGAAAATTAAGAGGTTCCGGAATGTGGACTGCGGAAAATTCTGTACACTCTCTCACTCTACTCGTGTCGCAACTGTGTGAGTAGTTTATCATTGGATGAACAAGTTTATACAAGTTCGACACTTATTATTTTAAAATTCACAAGTACAATGGTATTTTTCCAAAAGTGCTGATTATTTAGGATCCAATTCCATAATGAGCTGCATATCGTATTTCCGCATTCCAAGTTCCCAACAATATATGATGCTTCCTATAAGAAAATTAAGTTTTGATCTTTCGATACTCACTGATCCCATACAGCTTACGAATTGTAACATGGTCATACCTGCAAAAAAAGAAATTATATTTCACACAGTGAATCCATAAATGATGTTCAAATAATAGCTTCATATCTGACATGAAATAAGTGTATTTTTGTTTTGTACAAACTTGTACAATCTATAAAATTCAACTGGATGGCTAGAACGCCTACATACTATTAATTAATTATGACTAATTTCATTAAAAAGAAGCTGCTACTTGTATTATTTCCATACATGTAATCTGACAATTGTACTATTTTGGATATTGAAATACGCTTATTATATCACGACACAGATAGCCTGATATGTACAGAAATAGAGTGACGCCATGCAACCAAGTCACAGTATCTCCGCAAAATAACATTAATAATATGTGTTTACCAGCATTTCGCTTGAACACTGATCTGGTTATTTGGTAATGTGGTCGCATTTAATCTATATTTACATTATATTGGTGAGGGCGGAATGATAATGAATTAACTAAAATGATGTCGAACGGCATGTCCACTGCAGTTGGGGTGCTAGACTAGATTTATTCATTTGGTAAATTTGTATCAGACAAGATAAGCGATGTCCGCAATATTACAAATATCAATACTTCAGCTATCCGAGATTATGAAGACAAATGCCTTTGCTGCGCAGATTAAGCCGCAACCCTAAAAACTTTAGGGTCAATCCCTCTTATCAGGTGCACTGTGTAAAAATATGAACGAAATCATATAAGCTTGGATCCACAGGTACTCCGTTTCTATAACCGGGTGTTTATACATTTTTATATACTTGGGCCATCACGCAGGCCTAAGGTCTAAATACCCGTGAGCTTATAAGCTTTCTGAACTAGTCTAAAATCTGCATAGTTGCATCATCCACTACTCTGTAAGCTAAGCTAGCCATTGAATTAAAAAAATCTCGGCTATAAGATAGATCGTAATGAGCTTTTATTTCTGCTGCGAGAGGCAAAATTTTGGCGCATTATCATTAAAAAGTGGCGTTCTGGCAGTGGTTCTGCTCGTTTTTGCAGAACGGGTAGTAATTACCCTCAAGGAACGCATAATCCCTGTTCGATCTATAATTTCCGACCGGAATTGTGCTGCGGCCAGATGCAAATTGTGCCATTATAGTCAAGGAAAATTGACACATCTTCAATTAAGATGGACACTGGGTATCTTAGACCGAACTACATGATAAGCCAAATGTTTTAAAGTCAGCGCTCTACAATATGTTAAATACAAAACCTGAAAAGAAAACTTAAATCATTTGTAGTTATAAGGATAGAGTGTGGTGAAAATGGCAAACGTTCATTAGTACGATGTCGGACAATATCTCGTTTTCTGAAATATCAGCAAGAACTGACATAAGTAACTGTATTCTGAAAGTTACCAGAAATATTTGTGCACCCGTCATAAAACCTGCTTCCCAGGTAAATTTGGTGTGCAGAGCATCGAATAAATTACTGAATGTTTATTATTTTCATGTCAGGTTGTGATGAAGAGGTAGTTACAGAGATAAGGCTTCGAATCCCAGGTGGCAAAATGTCTAACCCCAAAATTCGTCGACACGACGATTTATCACATAAATTCGGCGGGTTAAAATAACCAATGAATGCTTTTAGAACGCATGGCACATAAAAACTCTTCTCAAATGATAATAAACACAGCATTCATCATGAAACATTTTGTATCATATGAACACCTCACAAAGGCAGACGTTCTTTATGGCGAAAGGATCTTGATTTTGTCACTCGGTGATCAAGGCTTCCCATTTTCTCTCGTACAATAGAGCAAAACCACTTATTTAACTTTGTATAGAGAACAAGCGACAAAGAGCTTGCATAGCTACAAAAACATCAGAACATTGCCAGAGTCGGAGTCTGGAACAACGAAACTATGAATTCAGGTCCTTTGAAACTTTCGTCAGAACTATTTTATGTAGTTGCTTTGCTATAAATTGCTGTTGCTTCTGCACATAAAGATATATAACAGGATAGGTGCCCTGACACAAATAGACATCGACAGTGTTGCCGACAGTGAACAGTTTGACAGACTATGCTAGAGGATAAAAGCCGCAAGATCAAAACTAAACCGATTCTTTTCGAATTCCCTTATTCCTGTTTTGAAACCCTCTTTTCTCAAAATGGTCATGCTGGCTGGAGAATCAAGGTAGAAGTATTTGCTATGGGAAATAAAATGATGAAACTAGAATTTTTATAGTTCACAAAGTTGCATAAGCATCTATACCTTTTACTTTCTACGCCACTGGTGAGGAATTGTTGCGATCGCAAGAACATTAGAAAATGAGATGCACTTTTTGGACGTGATATGACATGTACGTCACAAAAAAAACCATGTCACCCATTTCCATCGGACTGTCGGCCTGAAATATTTAGATTTGTCGGTATGTCGGTCTATCTCTCTGTCTGTTGGCCTGTACGCTGAATCCCGTCTATCGCTTGGAAAGTACCGTTTGGATTTTAATGAAGCTTTCACACAAGGTTTCTATTATGCCAGGAGCGCAAAAACTTTATCGATACCATCGGTAGGGCACGGAAAATATGTCTATGGACTGATTGCATGGGCCTGCTTGATTGGCTTGATCAGTTTAATTTCTAGTTCACATATCCCTAGCTACCCTATTTCTTCAAGGGTATATTTTGTGCCGAACATAAGCCTTTATGAACCGAAGGCAGAGTCGCCTGGTAAGTGCAGAGCCATTTTTTGCTGTCGCACCCGTTCAGTAGGAGCTTCCGGCGGTATTGTAGCCTCTAAGGTGTATTGTATTTGACTTTTATTTTGAGCACCCAATCCAGCAGACATGGATTCGGTATAGTTTTCCTGACCTCTTGGTACTAGTATAGGTTTCTCAAGGAGTTACTGCTTCCTGCCAATAGCGCTCAGCGCTCGAGGATGACATGGCATACTTTGTTCCTTTTCCGCATCGTCTTCTGTTTCCCATCATACAGCCTTATGTGGTACAGGTGTTTTCTTAAGCCAGACGTGCAGCATTTTTAACGCTGGATAGGAGTAGCTACAGATTATTAGCTACACTAGCAGTAGCCGTAGAATAACTTTCTCAGTTAATCAACATATTAACAAATATGACAGCCAAGTGAAAATTGCTGTCAAACTCATCTTATATCTACTACTTATACGCACAAAGCGCTGCACCGCTGGACCGCTTTACGTTGTCTGACTGCTTCTATTGTGTCCTGTTAAAATTTTTAAGGCTCGAGCAGTTTTCCTGCAGACAGCAAGCTCCAATGTTCCTTGTATTGTTTTACTTGCTAATTTTTTTCTTTACCCAGATTTTGGACCTATTGATATTTTATAGCTGTTCTAGACTACCATTATCTCGTTTTACAATGGTTTAGCATATGCTTTTGTGCAAATAACTGTATCACCCTTTATTTATTCGAAATCTGAAACTAATTATGTCCTCTATCTTCTGGCCTGAGAAACTCAACTATCACTGTTGCGGCCCTGTTCACATCCTTACCATGCTGAAAACAGCCACTCGGCAGGTACGTACGGATCTTTTGTTTCCAGCCCTTCTATAAAACAGCCTCATGTTCCTACATGGCTACTTTTACTACTCCATTCTCTATAACCTTTTGCATCCAAAATGAGGGAGACAACAGCCGGAAAGACATTTCAACCGAATTGGCTTTTAATATTTAATTGGTAAAATTTGGAGAACGCTTCAGCATGGCTTAGCATGCCAGTAAACCTCGAAGTAGCTTTGTTTGGCTTTTCCTTAGAGGCTTGTTACAGACTGACTTCATGGTATTTACCAGGTGTAAAGCTAAAACTGCTGATACAGCTACAAAGCAAATAATTAACTCTATTTCACAAAATGCACTGATTGTAAGCCTTTGGTATTTTACTTCTCATTCAGCGAGGGAAATACTGTTATTCAAAATTCAGTCATCAAGTTTTTGATGTTCATAACGTCCACATCAAGAAAATGCAGATCACTCATTTCGGTCGGTATGTATGTCGGTCCGTTAACGCTTTTCTAATAGCGTTATCTCAAAAACGGCTTAAAGATACTTGAACAGTGGGAAAAGATTCAATAGCAACACTATACCGTTTGTTACATCTCCTTTCAAGTTCCTGAACACTCCGTGGAAAGGGCAAGTATTGTATTCGGGAGAAGCTTTAATCATGACATATATTGTGTTTTGGATGTTACATGACACATACATCATGAAAAATTATGTCACTCATGTCACTCTGTCTGTGTGTGGCTAATTTTAGCCTCTATAACTTGCAAAGTATCGTTCAGATTTCGATGAAATTTTCAAACAAGGTTGCTATTATGCCAAACAACACTCGTAGTCTTTGAAAATTGGTGTAGTGACGGCAAAGCTACAGGCAAACAACGAAAAGATAAAGACATGTCAAAGATGAATAAGCTTTGGGGATTTGAGAATCCACCCTCTGACTGGGGAGCTCTGTTGAGAAAACAAAAGGAATAAAAATAGGCATAGCATATTCATACGCTTTCACCTTCGGTAATTCTACCAGGCCTATTTCATACACAGATCTCACTAGACTTTTGGACCTATTTGACTGACTTGATCCATTTAATTTGTAGTTCACTTTTTTCTAAGATAGAGAGAGACCTTATGCTGACCTCCACCCTAATTACTTTCGGTGTTGTATAGGAGTTGCAGAGTTAGCCTACTTGACGCTACATATGGCAAAAGACATACCTGAATATCATTTTTGTATCAAGGATCCTTAATTAATAATAAATAATAATAGCTCATAACAGACTATAGCAAATCGAAGGCTAAATGGTAGCACAAAATACAAAATTAAGAAATAATTTTATATGTAAAGAACTCTTCCACGCTACGAAAGTTCTTATCTGTTAGGAATCATTTCAACTGATTTCTGAATCTGCTTACTGAACATCTCCTTTTAAATTATTGAAAGCTTTACGACCCATGTAACTCAAAGATTTCTGATATGCTGCAAGGGTAATTTGGGAAAAGGTATATATTATCGCAGCCCTATCTACTACGAAACTATTTTTTCAAAGCGTTGCTTTTTTGAGAAATATGTGTAGGATGCATTCCGTTAATGTCAATTGTTCATACCTATTGCTACCAAATTTTACTGGACTATAAGAATACCATTTTTTGAAGCTCAATCCAGGAAATTGTACCAACTGCATACATACATACCCCTAGAAATAATGTAAAAGTATAGAGAAACTTTGGAGAACTTATTGACGGTGCATTTGGAAGTTCCGGAAATATGGAAAGCTATAGCTATATTTTCCTTATTTATGTGCTTAAAGTATTTGTACCACTAGAGCAACATACATACTTGTGCATAGATATATTTCAAAGTAGAAAAGTGAGCTAGAAAGTTTGCTTTTATTTTGCCTGAGGAAGTTGTATGAAGTTTAGTCCACGTATCTTTGCTTAGACGAAAACTGGACCAAATAGGAAGTTTTCTATAGTCAAAAATACTACCAGTTTTAATTGTGTGTGTATTTGGTATCTTTCACAAATTTGGTAAAATTGCTCCCGTAGCATGAAATTTAAGGAAGTTACAAACTGACCAGTCGCAATATATTGTTTGTATTTTGGCATAGACTGATCTGCAATATTATAGCTATACGATAAATAAAATTGGATAAGGCTTTCTGGGTACTTCATTTTCCAAAGGTGGACATCCTGATGGTTGATGCTTCAATATGCTTACGGAATATCTATGCTTTGGCTTGCATTAATATATATTTTAAGACCACATGGGATCACTGCCACAGTCTTTAAATGGTAATAAGATATTTTACAAAAAAAAAACAGATTTATTCAATTTCCAGGCCTCAGATAACGAATGTGGTATCCGCTTGTCAACAAGAAAAATGGCGGATCTAATATCGTGAAGCTCAAACTTTAGTTTTATGTTTTCAGGGTCGCTAGTAATAAATTTGATATCGGTTATTCAAAAATCAGAATATCATATCTAATATCGAGGCTATGCTATCGCAAAATTTAATTTCAGATATTTTTAATTTTACTTATTTTTTAGTGTTGGAGACCTCACAGTCAGATTTCATTTTCAAATACCCTATACTTATTTTTGGTCGCTGAAACAAAATCTGAAATCGACCTGAATGTATCTAGTTTCATTTTATCATGTTCAATATGTACATCCTATCATTTAGTAAATAACTATGCAACTTTGGGTTGCTAAAAATCCGTTTTAGTTGTGGCGTTGTGGAGTTAAATCTGGGGTGAAAATTAGAATTTTGTGAATGACCCTATAGAAATAGATAAAACTCAGATACATGCATACGCGACGGAAATCTCAGACGGAAAAATCCGCACACATAACTCGAGTTGCGGCAATATATATACACGTCAAATCTAATTTAATATTTCTCAGCTCACGTTCTATGAAATTGCAGCTGGCATTTCGAGGATACACCGTTGCGTAATGTAGCTGTATAATATATTTTATTCATGGTACTCCTGATAAAAATGCACCAACATAACCAATTATGTTTAAATCAACATATATTTTCATGGACAAGTTTAGTAATTCAAACATCAATACTGACACTAGCAACATCATCAGAA